TACCAATGGAGGATGCATGCAGGGATGTTAAAGGAAAGAAGCTGGGCAGGTGTGAAGCTCTACAGTGGCACAAACAGCAAAGAAGGAGCTTGCCATTCTGCAGGAGGGTAGCTTATGTGCACCTCTTCTCAATACTGATGTAAAACAGCCAGCAGTGAATGACAACAGATGAGCGCCTCCTGACAGTATGAGCAGGATCTATTGACTACAGGTGGTGTACCTCTGGGGAAACTTCAGTGCAGGGTGTTAGAAAAGTATTACTGAAGTTCATCTGCCACCTCAAGTTATTGCACCAGCAATACTACAGGAGGTTGTTTATCGTAAGCAAACCCGAAATGATGAAGAAGCTGGTTGGTGTTCTCATCAAAAGAGAACAAAAAGACAAAAGCTTATCCTTGATGATAAGCTTCATAGTTCAGAAAGAAAGATATATCCTGGAGATGAAAGTATGGCTGTGCAGGTGGTGTTGCCAAGTGATCTTTGCTTTTCTCAGCTCTGGAATAATGTTTCAGGAGCTGATGGGCAAAACCAGTCTATCTCTCATATAAAAGCAGGAATATATTTGAACAGTGGATTTCTATCTTAGTGAGAAAGAAATAAAAAAAAAAGAAAGCCCACAGATGCATTTTACCACAACCTTAGGTTAGAAGTGTATGAACTTTCATAACATTTCATAAATTTAGGGAGCTAATTAATGGGGCAATGTAGAAAAAAATTATCATCTGGTAGAAGACTTAAGTAGGAAAAACTTGCTATTCATTCAGATAAGGTTCTACTATAGACCACAAAGTGGCAAGATGAAATGGATTAAGAGTCTTATGAGAAATAAGCAGAACTATTTAGAAGGTAGGACCTACATTGAAGGTAACCTAGGGTGACAACGATAGGATCTCAACCCCAGGTAATGAAAAAGCTTCATCCCTTGATGTGGAAAGAGCTCTCTGCTAAAACCTCATAGTTGTTTTTTAAGAATTCATGGAAGGTATGGGAAGGCTGGAATGAAGAAACATAGCACCTACATAATATGGGAAACAGGCTTGTAATAATTCTATGGAAATGGTTCTGGGGATTAATGTGGATGATAAAAAAATAATGGATCAACAGTATGAAGGCAAATGCCATGATGTGATAGTTAAACGGAACTAGAACCTGTAGAATGTGAAATATTCCTGGACCTTCCTCTGCACTGATAAGGCTTCAGCTGAAGTCTTGTATCCAGCCAAAGAGTTCCCACTCTTGAAGAGAGGTGTGGACTGTCTTGAGAATTCAGATAAAAATAATCAGAAATCTAAAGAACGTAACTGAGAAGAATTTTCAAAATGTAGGCTGAAAGCCTAGAGAAGATACTAATGGACACAGAATTATTATCTTCAAATACATAAAATGTATCTTAAGATATAAAGAGAATCAATGAAACACTAGAACAGACTGCTGAGAGCAGGAGGAGTCTCCAGTACTGGAAAATTTAAGGATTTTTAAGAGAAATAACCTACATTTGAGAGAGGGTACAGTGCTGAGAAGATGGTGGACTGTGCGGCCAGCTCTATGGTTCTGTGTCACAGGGCAGCTGGAGCATCATTTTAAATTCTATGATCACAAGCACTTTAATTCTCTGATCAAAGCACCAAGGCTTCCAACAGTAATATATTAATTCCCACTAAAAGTGATAATATATTCAGTAATTGCTTCAGAACTCTGATTGAATGTGAAAGTTTTATGAGGTGATAAAGAAAGGCCTATGTCCTTCTCAATGACAACTATATGGCTAATTCTCATGTATGAAGGCCAAGGGGAACTTTAAAATAGAGAAAACAGACAAAAATATTCCAATGATAAAACTAATGAAGGAAAGACAAGTACTAAATATGAGAAGCAATTAATAAGTATGTAGAGTAATCCAATAATATGCAAAACTCCGAACTGGCCCGTATTGCAATGTATCAGTGTAATTTTTTTATGTGAAATAATGAAATCATATTAGTTGTTTAGATCTGTAAGAAGAAATTCAAAGGAAAAAAAAATAAAGAAATTATGACATACCAATGATCCAGTTAAGGTAACACTTTTTATTCTTAGTTCCAAAATGTTACATGTTTTGGACAAAATCTATCAAAACAAATATTTGGGACTATTTTTATGCAAGCTTTTTTTTTTTTTTCAGAGTTCTATTTTGTTATGTGTAGAACTATATTGGAAACATTTTTTCCTGCCCTATCTGAAGTCACTTTGAACAGTCTTATTACTCATATTATAAACAAAATACACATATCTAGAGAGAGAGAGATATTCTACATTACCAGTATAAAAGCCACAAGTATTTTTATGGAACTTCACTTCATCACGCATTAGTTTGTTTTTCAGAAAAATGACCATACCAAGGCTAATATTTTAATTTGGGAAAAAAAAAAAGTACATGCTAGAGACCAAAATCAGATTATTCACCCATCTAACTCATAACCCATTACCCATGGTGCTGTTTCCCATGTAATTTATTCAGTATGATTACTTCTGGTTTTTATCAAAAAGCAATATAAAAGTCCCTATAAGTGTATGAAGTAATGAGTTGCTTGAGGAATCCAATGTCTCTACTTTTGTTTGCCATTTTGAACTAGTAATCATTTTCACCTATATCTAATCAATGACGATGGTCAGGCTGGAGGAAGGAAATATTTTCCCACAATGTTTGAAGGATAATTTCTCAAGATACCCCAAATACAAGATTTTCCTTACTAAAATACTAACAAGTATATTTAAAGATGTATTGGGATGCCTGAACCTGAGGCTGAATCTCATGCACCATCTGCCATATGTAACTGGAGCAAGAAATAGAAATGAGTCTCAGATGCTAATAGGAAGCACAGTGTGCTCACATTTTTTGCTATAAACTGTGCCCCTTTAAAGTGGTGCTTGCTGGACCCCCCAAAATAAGATGCTGTGAATAAGTAGTTTGCTTTCAAAGAAAGTCATTATTTCATACGGGTATTTATTTCAGTTTCCGTCAGAATCATGGAAATAGAATTATTAGTAAAGCAGAATGTTTTCAAAAATGCTTATATGCAAATTGGGAAGGATTGAAGTTGCTTTGGAAAACATTGAATCTTCTGATGTTTGTATACCTTAAATATCTGCCATTAAAGTAGCCCCTTCACTTATAATGATCTCTTTACTTGATGGTTCAAAATTTGTTTCTGGCCCATATAAGAGAATATCCCTCAGTAAGTTCCATGCCACATCTTTTAATTCAAACATATAGCAAATTATTGCCATAATTCTTCTGAAGTTAATGGAGTTTTATCAGAGATTATTTGGCCTGAGGTGTGACTATTTATCCTCAAAGATGCCTTGTCTGTGTAGGAGGGTTCCTGCTTGACAAAGCACTTCAGCATGGATTTCTGTTACACTGAGGACATAAAAGCTAAACATTTAAGTGCAGTGCAAAATGGGGTGTTTCTCCTTGGAAGCACACTGTTTCTATGTTTAAACTTTATTGCTGATGCTTGTAACTAACTGCAACTTGTGAACACTGGTAAAATACAAAGCCTGTTTGTCCTTATTTGGTGACTTTTTTTTTTTTTTATATTTCATATGTCACTATGATGCCTGTAACCTGCTAATATGGGAACTCATTCTTATTCCAGGATCTGTACCATTAAAACTCATTACCTAGTTTTGTGGTTTTACCTGCTTTTTCTAACAAGTGTACCACACTGGTCCTACCCAGAGTAAGGGCACTTTTACCAGCATAGTTGTTCCTTTCTCCTCAGAATAATAAATCACAATATTTTAGGCACATGGAAACAGATACGTATACCAGGAAAGGTGAAACAGTCTGATAGTTCTGGTGCAACAAAGAGCTTTTTCTCATAAATAAATAATGCTACAGTTTCTGAGGAACTCAGAGCTGTGTATAATTACTTTTTATATGTATTGAGCAGCTGAGGGTGTTTTCCTTTATGATATACCTCAGGCAGTCACATGCAGGTTATTTAAGAATCACATTTTTTCTTCTTACTCATAACTCTAACATATTCCAATAATTAAATCAAGTGCCAGAGTTTTATAAATACTAAAATCTGTTAAAACTTTGACAACAATTATAGATATTGCATCCTTTAGGACTAAAAAGTGTTTAGCCCAAGCAAACACAGTGGGCTAAAAATTTCAGAGTGCAGATTAAATACAATTAAATGAAATAATAGAATAAAAGTAACATATCTCTTTCAGGGCAATCATCAGAATCTGTTCCATTTTTGGATATGACTGCTTTTGGCTTTTCTGATCGCTTTGTATAGTTAGTAGGAAACTGCAGAAAAAACTTTCCATTTCAGTTTTTACTTATTAATTTATTTCACATATACTCCTTTGTTTTGAATGGATAGATAAATAATCTTTCCTTTTAACTGGCAGCATAGTGGAATGGCAGAGATAGGAGTGAAGGCAAGATGGGCGGAGACCTCATCAGAAGCACCAGTTTAAAAGAGGACTTAGTAAGGGTTAAACACCAACCATAGAAAGGGTGTTTGTAACTTAGAGAAAGTTTGCTGCAAGGACTTTTTGTCTTGTTGTTTACTGAGTGCTGTCAGAATGCATAACATATAAAAACATAGTGGGAGACATGATCCTTACCCCAAAGCATCCATATTCTGAATTAGAGAAATAGTACATTTCAGACACAAAATATATTTGATAACTAGATGATGGGTTTGTTTCCAAGCAATGCAGATATCTTTCTGGCTTTCTAATCAACTCTTTCTGGATTAATATTGATAAAGCTAATTACAGAAGCATGTGCTGAGAGGGACTTAATGAAGATTGCTGGCTAGACACACCTGGGGAGGTGAGGAGTTTTCAGAGTCAAAGGAAATATGGATAAAAGCTGCAGCTGGGATGTTTTCATGACTCTAAGGAGTAAGTCTGGGAGAGTATGCAATATTGTCTCTGAAAGAGTCTAGGCAAATATTTTATAAGTACTGTTCTGCTTAATAATTCAGTATGCTTGCACAATGATGAATATTTAGTGCTCAATACTGTAGTGTTGGGATTTTATTACACTGAAAATCTGCATTACTTGTGTGTTGTTTACATGATAAATCAGTAGACTTCTCAGATCTTTAACTTTTCAAGAAATTAACTCTTTGTCTGTTTCATAGAAATTAATTCAGTTTTCAGTTATACAGATGTCTTTTCCTTTTTACCTAATAGAAACCCCTGTACACTTCCACGTATCAAGCCTATTAAAACACTGCTTTAAAAGTCTCATTATCTTTGCATGGGCATTTTACACTTCAAGCATAGAGCTAGCTGACAGCAGTAGCTGACTGACCTTTCCTGGATGATTTACTGCAAGGAGTTGCCAGGCCAGTCATTTCTAATGGTAGGCTGGTGACACTACTAAGAAAAAGGAGTTAGTCAGGGCAAATGGGGGCAGGGTTTGCATGTATAATTT